AAATGAAAAATATATACCATTGATGGATGGAAAAAAAATAGTGATATTTAAATTTTTGAATTGTTTTTACATATTGTCTTACCGTGGCTGTTACTTGTTGTCCAGCGGGAGTACCTCACAGACGGAGAACAAAAAGATACGTACATATTCAGTTCCGGTTTTTTTTGCTTGTTTTCATTTTAAGAAATTTTCGTTTCGTACTCACGATCATCATGGCTACCGAGTTTTGCGTTCAGAAAGTTGAAGAATACAGAAAACTTATCCGTCATAATGGGACATTTATGTTGACTTTTTGTATTTTAAATGTATTATTTCCTCTTGTGGCAGTTCTTGGGAATCTCTTAGTTATCCGCGCTTTGTGGAAATCATCATCGATTCCAGCCAATTTAAAGAAATTATTCTTGAGTCTCGCTGTCTCTGATGTTGCTGTCGGGTTGATGGCTCAACTGATGTTCGGTGTCATCAACGCAATTATGTTAAAGATGGCGGAAGACGAGAACTATGACTTCAGCTTCCTTTGTCCAACAATTTCAAACGTACGTCATTCCTGGTTATTTTTCCTGGTTTGCGCGTCGTTTTTGACAACATCCAGCATTGCTGTCGATAGACTTCTTGCTATTTGTCTCCATCTTCGATATCAGGAGCTTATTACCTCAAAACGGCTTGTTTTGGCTTTGGTTTTGTTCTGGTTGGCAAGTGCTGTCATGGCTTTCATATTTGTTGTTCTCCCTGACAAAAATACTCTTGTTAGCATTGTTGTTGGATTTGTTGGGATTTCCGTTACAACGGCGGCGTACATACGCATTTACAGGGTTGTGATGTATCATCGAGCTCAATTACAGGCTCTGGGAAGTCGGCCAGAACTTAATTCAGTGACGTTTCTCCGAGAAGCAAAGTCAGCCATCAATACTTTGTACGTCTATATTGTTTGCCTCGTTTGCTATTTTCCCTATGCTTGTACTTTAACTATTTTAACAACGGATAACCTCAAAACGTCATTTGCACTGGCGAACCATGTTTCATTTTTCTTGATGCTACTGAACTCTTCATTAAATCCTTTTGTCTACTGCTGGCGATATCGGGAGATTCGTAAACATGTTACAAGAATGGTACGGAAAGTACTTTGCTTTGCAGCCACTGAACCATGAAGAGTTGGAAGTGACGGTGATATGCGAACGGTTGTGACTTTCAAAGCGCCATTTTCATTAATCAACTTCTCTGGCTGATT